TTGAAAATATTCTTGATATTGATACAGACATTAACCGTGATCAAATGATGGATTGATTGATTGATTGATGAAACGACAAAGAGTGTTACAAACGAACGACAGATCGATTAAAACAACAAGAGAGAATGTTAATACGATTAACTTTAGGTTAGTTGATTTGAGGATGTGAGGAGACATATGAAAAGCTCAACGAAACAAAACAAAACAAATCAAAACGAATATGAGTGGAAATCGTTCAGTTAATAAATTAATTCAATAAATAAAGAAACAATCATTCGATTATTAACGATTCACACTTCACAGCAGCATATCACTATGTTTCCGTCTAAAATTATGTATTTTTGAAGCAAAAAACGAGTGAAAGTCAACAATTCACCGATTCAAAGTTTCACAAATCCACAACAATAATGTTCAGCAGATCAACTGAATGTTCAGATGTTCGGATCAACTGAACGTTCAGAAGAATCAACTGAATCAACCCAATCTCAGAAATGAGCTGTTCTGAAGTGTATTCATTATAACAAATGATCACACCGAAAACGCAACAAACAAATTCCAAATGAAAGAGAAACAGTTTTGAGCGAGTGATTATTGTGTAACGCTGATACTATCATTATAACAACAATCGGTTAGTATTTCTTATCGCTACACTTCAAACCGATCACGAAATCAATTCTATTATGGGAACATTTGCATTCAATGCAGTGTTAGCATTCAATCAACCACAATTATAATAATAATGATAATAATAGTAATAATAATAACAACAAAAATTACATTGATGATATTCATAACGCTTATCATTACTATGTGTATACTAATAACTCGCTCAAACATATTCAATTTAGGGGAACGTTAAAATTATTCAAAAAAATTCAATAAAAAAGTACTATTTGATTCAGTCACAACAATGCGATTAGTTGAGAGAATTACCAATTCAAAAAAAAANAAAAAAAAAGGATTAACAAGGAACTGGCATTTGACAGGAACTTATCATAGCATTGTGCATACCATTTCATTTCCCGAACAAACACCACCGTTCAAGACAACTATCACTCCTAATCACTCACCTTACCTCCTTAACTCCCCCACCGATATATCACTTCATTTCATACTTTTTCCAGCTGACTACTACACAGTTATGCAACAACGCTACTCATATCCACCAAATGTCTATCGATTTTGTCAGCTTTCGTGAATCCGTGTTATATATCTTCAAACAGACGTTTGCACGTCACGCTACTTCTCAAGGCAGTACGAGAGCAAAACACTAACATCAGAAGAGAATTATAAAATACGTATGAATGTATTTATATGTATATATATTATATTAACTCATTCTACAAAAATTTGATGAAATAGAGGTAATAGTTTGAATATTATTATTATTATTAAAATTATCATTATTACTAATATATAATACAACAAATTGAAATACATAAATTACCTTCATATAATAATTTATGGATGTACTGAACATTAAAACGGTGGTGTTTCGTGTTCAAAACTCGGTATGCGCAAAATGCGAAGGCCTAGGCGCTCGACCAACGGCATGCATTAATTGAGGCACATACGGTAAGAGTAACCAATAGAAGTAACCGAAGAAAGCACAAATGGATGTTATTATTGTGAGGATTGCACGCATTCGGGTTTTCGCGAAGAAACCACGCTTTGAAGCGGGTAAATTCTCACCATCAACGTAGTTACGTGCAATGAATTTGAGGATTTCATCGAGTAGAATAACCGGGAATGAAATCTGCAATACAGCCATCCATTCGGCCCAACCCAACGGTGTTATCTGGAAGATTGTGGCCATAATGTCGACGTAAAGAATGATAAAATGCAACGACATCGATAACGCTATAGCTGACATCAGCCATATGTTCGACCACGGTGGCATCACCAACAACGATTGATTCTCGGATAAACTGAAAGTTTGAGCGCTTCAAATTAACATCAGAGTGGCATATGTGCATGAATCAGTGAGTGAATTTAGTTCGTAACATTATGCGTAACATTTCATTCAAATATTTATCCAGCCGGCTCACAATCTTCATTAATGAAATCGAAACTGATCACGGAAAAAACGCTATTTGCAAGTTACGTTCTCAAAATCGGATAAATAAATTCACTAACAGTGACACTAAAGTTGACCTAGACAATATGAAAAAAAAACAAACAACAAATGATTACTGACATATGTATAACAAATATAACAGTCAATTATAGCAATACCTGTTGACAGCGTTTAACATTTCAATTGTCACCAAAACAGAAAGTGCTAAAGCATTCGGATGTGTATCCTCGAATACGGCACAATCCAAATCAACAAAGTTCTCTGGTTCGATTTCACATCGCATCCAATGCGTCAGTTGATAGTAGCTAATCTGTGGACCATCTTCATAAAGCAAGAACCACCACATTGCTGCACCAACTGTCGCCATACCGACGTATGCTGAAATGGAAACGAATACATAAACATTCACTTAGCTGACACTCACAACAAACGTTATTGTTCCATAACGACATCACCTTGCATAGTGAGGGGAAATGCTCAATTGATGAAGGAAAATGATTTGATGACAAATCAGTTTTTGACACTTTTGATCGTTGATTGAAAGTTCGTTAACTGTGAAGAATCAAAACAATGACCAACACAAATAAACACTATCAAACTCAAAAGTTTCGATTTCAAACAAAAAAAAGCAAGAACTAACATCCGACAGCCAAATATCTGAAGAAGAGCCATTTCGAAATCAACGATTCACTGGCAGATCGTGGTGGACGATCCATAATATCCAAATCGGGTGGATTGAAACCAAGCGCTGTGGCTGGTAGACCATCAGTGACCAAATTCACCCATAACAATTGCACTGGAATCAATGCCTCTGGTATACCCAATGCGGCCACCAAAAAGATTGATACAACCTAAAAACGCAACAAAAAATTTTCCCATCATTGCAACAAATGAAAACAAAATTCATTCACTGTTTACATTTTCAAAAAATAAAAATAAACAAACAAACACAAATCAAAAAAAGCAAACAAAATAAAAATATAAGACTCTACCTCGCCAATATTCGACGAAATCAAGTAACGAATGAACTGCTTCATGTTATTGTAGATGGCACGACCCTCCTCCACTGCACTCACAATTGTCGAGAAATTATCGTCGGCCAACACCATTTCGGCGGCACTCTTCGCCACTGCCGTTCCACTGCCCATCGCAATACCGATTTCGGCCTTCTTCAGTGCAGGAGCATCGTTCACACCATCACCAGTCATCGCCGTAATTTCACCGTGTGATTGCAAAAACTCGACAATTTTCGACTTGTGCGCTGGCTCGACACGAGCGAACAACTTCGCACGACGGCATGCATCACTCTGTTGTTCTGGTGGTAAGTCATCGAATTCACGACCGGTGAACGCTTTCCCTGAAATATTCCATTTCATTTCCTGAAGTAAGACGAACCAACTCAACTGCTCCAATCAAATGAATAACTGAGAGTGTGAAAACGAATCTGTAATGGCTCATTTATTTGCTATTTGATTAACTGAGGTCAGCAACAAGGTTCATGCTTAAAGTAACTGAACTTCCACCACAAATTCTACTTCATATTCTCGTTTCAGCTAAGTGTTTTCAGATAAAATCAGAACAAACTCCGGCAAAAGATCTTTTGGAAAAAGCTTCTGAACTGACCAGAAGTATCCTCTTCTTCAGTGAACAAGCCAATTCTACGTCCAATTGCTTCAGCGGTATTCTTATTGTCACCAGTTATCATTATTACTCGAATTCCAGCCATACGACACTCTTCAATTGATTTCAACACTTCCGTACGCGGAGGATCGAGCATACCGACCACACCCACGAACGTTATATCGCGTTCGTATCGTGCAAACTGCGCCGAATCTTCCAAATTCATACTGAAATCGATTCTCATCATTCATAAAATCATCATTACTAGAGCCGTTATCATTATGAAAATTTACTAAAATTGACGTTAATCTGATCGTAACGATCATACCTCGCTTGTTGCGGTGGACTATCAATGGTGCCAAGCGCCAGGCATCGAAGGGTATCACGACCTGTACCATACTGCACACATTGATCCACAATACGTTGCGTCATTTTTTGAGTTAACGGTACCTTCTGACCATTCACTCGAACATGCGTACACCTATTCAACACACCTGAAACAGCAACCTGAATTGCTTCGCGCAATTATGACACGAGCACATTCTCAAGTTAATCTTTGCCAGTCCAGCAAACCTCTCAACACTAGAAACAATGGTCGATCAAAAAAAAACAAAACAAAACAATTCCAGCCTATTCTAAGTGCGTACAGCAAAACGGTGTAAATGCATTAATAAATGTGCGATTAATTGAGATGAACCTTTGAAAAAAAACAATGAATAAACAAACAAAACAACTAAGTAAACATTACCGTCAAAAAATCAAACAAACAAACAGTTGATGCCACAAACCTTCAGGTGCTCCCTTGACGAACATCTTCGCTCCAGTACCGCCCGAAGATGGCACACAAAAAACGCTCATACTCTTACGATCTCGTGAAAATTCCAGAGTGAACTCTTTCTTCCACTTTTGCTGGATGACACGGTTACAAACACTACCCAAATCACGCGGTGAAAGACCGGATTTGTTCGTATTATAAACGTTCATCTTTTCAGCCAGCACAACCAACGCTGTTTCAGTGGCTTCACCGACTTTCTCGTAGATACGTTTTATCTGAAGGATTCATTCGTCCGTTCCATTGAAGTTTTTATCGCAAAACAATCACCACAATTTGATGAAACTTCAAAAAAACAATCGAATCAAGCGAACCTCGTTGAAATCAACCGCAGAATCGTTACACAGCGCACAGATGGTGGCCAGTTCAGTCAATGCTTCGTAATCTCCACTAGCACAGTTCACATGACGTCCGTTATGGAATACCTAACATATTATTTGTCTGTTAATTTTCGGCAAAAACGTATCACTGTTACAGAGTATAATGACACAGCTACAGTTCATTTTTTATGGCCGCAATCAATGACACAAACGACACATTCGATCCGCAATAACCAATACTCTCTTCTTTTGGGGTAAGAAAGCAGCAAACAAACAAAAACTGTTAATTTAACATCACTGTCAACCGACCTGTCCCGATGGTTCATAGGTTGATCCGGTGATAGTGAATTCCGTGAACGAAATATCATCGTTGTTGACTTGATCGGCAATGAACATCTTCGAAACACTCATTTGATTGGTGGTCAGTGTGCCAGTCTTATCCGAGCAAATCACCGACGTACATCCCAACGTCTCGACGGAAGGCAACGATCGAACGATTGCATTCTTCTTCGCCATACGACGCGTACCCAACGCCAGACATGTGGTGATCACAGCAGGTAAACCTCAAAAGCAATCATCAATTCAACAATCAACACGCATAACAAACACAAATGACGAATACGAGAAAAAAAAAGAAACTGTTTTCACAATCATAACATCCGTTTGGCTCGAATAATTTCAACAAAACTGGAATAATTGCTCGAATACAGCAATCGATAAAATTGTCGTTTATTGAATGCTCGAGACTAGACCTTCTGGGATAGCGGCTACGGCCAATGCGACGGCGATTTTGAAGTAGTAAATTGCTCCTTTAATCCATGAACCACCATGAGCTGGATCACTAAAGTGACCGATGTTGATTGCCCATACAGCCACACATATGATCGATATCACCTGTGATTTAATTTAACATTTCATTGATGCATTCAAATTTGTCATCGATGCTCGCTTACAACCGATAAAAAAAAGAAACCTTTGATAGCTGTTCACCGAATTCGTCGAGTTTCTGTTGAAGAGGTGTGCGATCAGTTTCGGTTTCTGCCATTTCGGTACGAATCTTACCGATTTCTGTATTCAAACCAGTACCGAATACAATACCACGGGCCTAAAGTTTCATATAGCTACTCACCAGTACATTACTGAACAATAATTCTTCCACCTTCTATTCATAGGATAACGATGACGACTAAATATTCACGACGTAGAAAACATTTCGAAAGACTAACCTTTCCAGATGCCACATTTGTACCCGAGAAGAGACAATTCTTCTTGTCCTGGTTTACAGCTCTTGGATCCGGTACTGTGTCGGTATGTTTGATAACCGAAACTGATTCACCCGTCAGAATTGACTGATCGATACGGATTGTTGTTGAGTAGATTTTCAACAATCGTAAATCAGCCGGAATCTTATCACCAACTGAAAACACATCCATTCACAACTTCTTACATCGTTCAAAATAAACAATAATTCCTAAGAATCGGACAATCAATTTTGATTGCCTGCCTCAAAAACGATTGAGTTTAACTGAACTGAAGAGTGCAAAAATTGAGTTGAATTTGGCTAATTCTAACTAGGCAAACTAAACGGATAAATGTAATTGACGGATGACGAAGCCGAACCAAAATTTCTTACACCAAGTTTCAAGACAAAAAAACAAAAGCTATGCGCGAACAAAAACGCACCTGATACTTCAACAATATCGCCAGGTACCAATTCATTCGCACGAATCATCTGAATTCCATGCTTACCACTCCGAAAAACTTTAGCCATTTCAGGTTCATACTCTTTCAACGCTTCAATTGCACCTTCCGCATTTCGTTCCTAAACAGTATGAATCAATCCAATTTATCTCTCAATNCTCTCTCATTCATCGATTAAAAATCGTTCAATTTATCGACTCCAATTCAATCAATTTCACCCCAACAATCTCAAAGGAACATGCTTGAGTGAATTAAATGAAAAATAAAAAACGGTAACACGAGTAATGATACCTGCCATACACCAACGGTAGCGTTCGCGATAAGAATCAGCAAGATAACGAACGGCTCAACGAATGCAGTTACTGCAGACGTTTGGTCATCGTGTTCTTCGAATAATGCCAATACCTTCAAATTGATCACTTCAACTAAACACATTTGGTTCGGTTCGTCTCAAATTAAACTCGTTATAGCAGAATTGATTGTCCATAGCTTTTTGCATGAAACATTGAAACCAATAAAACTGATAACAACACTCACAAATGAAACAATGGCAGCAAGGAGGAGAATCTTGACAAGGAGATCGTCGAATTGTTCCAATATCAATTCCCATAATTTTTTACCCTCCTCAACCGGTAACTCTGAAATATTACACATTCAATCTGCACACATTTTAAACAACCAATACAGTTTTCGATCCTTCAAAAATGATGATCACTATTCATATTTCACGTCAACATTTCAATAACCAACAGAATTCATTACCGTTTGGTCCATACTTTTCGCGATTCTGAATAACTTGCTCTTCGGTAAGACCATCAGGACTAACGTTGAAGAACTTGAGCAGTTCATCGGCTGACTTGGCATGAGCGTCATTCATCTCGCCAATATTAAGCGAGAGAAAGCCACCCTTAAAACAATTTCTCGTTACCATTTTAATTCGCTTCAATTCTCAAACGAATACGACGTATCGATAGCGATTCAGTGCGAACGCGAAACAAACGCGTATAATCAGAACTAATGAAGTCAAATCACAACATAAAAAAGTCACCATAAAGTAGTATCGCATAAAACATTCTCATTTGAACAACAAAAAAAAAGGATTCATCGATTCCATACTCAACACAAAATGCATCGAACACACCACAACTTCACAATACGAATTGGTTAATAAACAACAAAACAACTACGTGATTAAAGAAACATGAACGAGTAAACATTCGAAAATAAACAAATAAATGTACCAGCACACCAATATAACAACAAACATGTCTTGCCATATCTAAAGAAACGACTGAATAAATACGGATAATTCCTAAAATTCATTCATATTCGAAAGGAAGTTATTATTCGAAGGTACGTATTGAAGGGAGTGACTGACGTCAAACATGCGATTCAGTCAGTTGATCGTATATAAAAGAATGTTTTTGTTTGGGATCAATTGGCTCAATGAAAAACCAACCAACTCATCAGTAATCACTTCAGTGTGTTCCTATCGGATGAATATTTAAACAAGCCACAAAAACAACACCACTGACAACAACGCTGATTACAGTATATCGATGCTACCAAATAAAAGCAAAATGAATAACAATATTCAACAACTAAAACTGTCAAAAGGATGAATGAATCGGTGAGCTTCATCAGAATAATCCGAACACCAATCATAAGTAAGTAAACATGACAAAATATTCCCCCATTCATTAAAAATGAATATAAATCAATCTTAGTATTCCTCTTAAAAATAGTCCACAATATACCCCAAATGAAATCAAATCATAAAATTCAACAAACCATAACATCAATCTTTTTCACATCAAACTTATCAGTACTATTATTGCTAAATCTATTGACAATGGGTGTTTTACGCAAATGACAATCATTCTACTTATAATCATTTCAACTGCAATCCCAATTGTATTTGCTCACCTAATCGATCGGAAATCTA